TTAACAATTATTCCACGAGCGCGCGTTGGATATGAGATGATAGATAGCCAACGAGGCGCGTAGCGCCGAGTTGGCTATAATCATCTCATATCCAACAAGCGCGAGTGGAATAATTGTTTTATTAAAAACGCCCCCAAGAAATTATTATTTTGTAAGAAGAAAACGGATTTTTTAGCTCCCTTTTGATTTTAAGCTGACGCGTACGCTTACCATATTTGTAGATTATGGTATATTGGCTGATATACCATAATGGCTAAGCCAATAAAAAGTCTTGAATTGCATTATCCTATGATCCAGTTTTTAATAATAATCTTTAGACAGGGTGCGTTCTCACAAAAAGTGGTTTTCAGAACGGCCCTTTTGTTGAGTGGTGAATGCTGCAGTAGAATTTAAATTAGAAAATAATGGCAGGATTAACCCGAAATTACTATGAAAATGGCTGGAAAATTTGTAGTTGCTGTAACTTCTCCTTGACCTTTCCCGCAGTATGTCCATTATCTGAATTCCTGATTTGGTGGTAATTCTCTACTTAAAATTAAGAATGGATAAGATGACCAACAACCTTATGTCCACAGTGGTGCTGATACATTAGATACAATAATCCTAGGATGACTATCAACTAAAAGCTAAAGGTTTCCAGTGAATTCAGTTCCCTGGTTATTCGGTTAGTCTTACAAAATCAGTTAAATTAAAAATATGCTGAAATTTATCTGAATTAATCACATTAGACATTATGACAAGGTTTACAGGAGTCACTTTCCTTTCCTTATAGCTCCACTATAATGGAATCTATCAGGGAATGACGGCGGAATTTCTGAAGTACATGGAGGTTACCTGAGCAGACCTACTTACCGAAGCACCAAAAAATTTCCCTTCTTGTCTTGTGACTGATATTGGGCAAGGTAACACAAGTTCGAGTCATACGAAAAAAGGATCGACTTTGAATTTTTGCGTACCTTTCGTGGTGTTTATTGTTGGTAACCAAAATAAAAGAATCTAAAGGCTAGTCCACCTTAGGGTAGTCCGTCGGGATAATCCATGGACCATGGACTCGTGGTCAGCTATTTTTCCATCGTCAACCAAAAAATACGGTGTAAATAAAACGTAATGCAAAAGGCTGGATGAATGACTACCAGAGAAGCAATCCACAAATAATACAGAAAATTGAAATTTTAAGTTCAGTTTTAATTCTTCAGCTAACCTAAGAATCAGTTTACATTTGTAAGAATTATTTTAGATATCAGGTAAGATGGGGGGTGAGAAATGTGTCTTTGTTTAAAAAAGTCAAAGCAATGACTTATCTGTCAAATAATGCAGAAATTAAAATATTCAGCTAAAAAATCAACCAATAACCTTAGACACCATGATAATTGGTTAACATCAAATTTGTCGTTTCTCAAAGGGTCACAGTCAGTCAGTATGGCTTCGTCGCTAGAATACTCCGCAGAGCAACTGAACTACTACAGGATCTGCTATCTAGTCACTGATATCCTAACTGAGGGTCTACGAAAGATCTTCAAGCAAGAATGGGACAATCGCTACAAAATAACATAAGGAGAATGGAAAGATAATCATAAAAATGGACTGGACTTTTGGAACGGCGAGTCTCCCTCTGCGTGGGTTAAAAGAGCCGATCTTTTAACCACCATGAAAAACGGTGACAGAGCTGATTGGGATTGTCCCATGCTTTTTTTTGTGCTATTCTTTATTCAAATTGCCTGAACAGTCTCTCTCCAGTAGTTCGGTCTCATGTGAATAATCTCAGAATTTTTCGCGATAGAGAATTTGCACACATGCCTCGAGGAAAAATCTCCGACCTAGACTTCAAAAGTTCCATCTCAAAGGTATACACAACATTCCAAGCACTTGGGCTTGGTAGTTTGGCTTCAAAAATTCAGACCGTCGAACACCAGACAGGTTTCCCAACAAAGGAGTTAAACGCTGTCTCAAAGAAGGTTGACGATCTGGAGCAAGAGCTTCGTGAAACGAAAACACAACTTCAAGAAAAAGAGAACAATCTTCAACAGAAAGGAAGGGAGCTTCAAGACAAAGAAGAACAACGACAGGTGCTTGAAAATCAGTTCAATACTGATGTCTCACCATTTTGCATTCTTCCCTCTAAACCTACACACGACGTTGAACCAAGACGTAAAGAGGTTGCAGAAATTACACAACAGCTCAAAGCTCTCAAGAGCGAAAACAATGACGGCTTAAGCACCCTGCATATATCAGGAAACCCTGGAAGTGGAAAATCTCAGCTTGCTCGTCTGGCAGCCGAGCGATTCTATGACGAAGTCCAACACAGTTCATCGGCTACTTCATTTGTCATGACGCTAAATGCAGAAAATTCACAAACTCTTTTGGAATCGTATGTCTCTTTCGCTCGACATTGCAACTGTCCGGAGTATACTGAAACAAACACCTTCGGCTCCAAAAATTTGAGCACAGATGAGAAGATTGCGAGTCTGAAGACATTAATTAGCATAAAAGTAAATCTTTACTCGTCGTGGCTGCTAGTGGTTGATAATGTCCTTAGCTTATCACAAATAGATTTTGATTTGCGAGAGTTTAAAGATAAGAACTAGGCAAGGAGCCAATTATTGATAACAACACAGGATGTTGTGTCCATTCCTCTACCAAGCTCTTCCATTCAGCATATCTCCTTTAGTGAAGGTATGCATCCTGCTGATGCCTGCTCTTTGTTACGACTCCTTTCTGGTGTCAGTGATAGCGTGGTGGAAGATATCGCAAAAGCATTAGACTACCAACCACTTGCATTAGCCAGCGCCACCACCTACGTCAGAGAAGTTCGTCAGAACAAAAAAACTTCTAGTTTTGGCTGGATAGACTATCAACAGAAACTGGAGAAAGGCCGCGAATTACCACTGAGACTTTTCTGGCTGAGAACAATCCAAGCTATCAGAAAACAATGAGCACAGCAGTCAAACTCGCCGTACAAAAAGCGATGGAATCCGACAAAGTAATAGGTCCTACGTTTTTATTTCTCTCTATGTGTGCACCACAGCCTATACATCAAGATGTCGTCGTGAAGTACATCATGATTGATACCGAGAGTGAGTTTCAAGATGAAGACATGATTCGTTCACGGATCAATAGATGCTCCTTGTTCTTGTTTGAGGAGACAAAGAGCGGCGACTATATTCGGGTACACAGAGTCGTTAATGCAATCATCAATGCAGTTATAGAATATTGTGCCGAGACTGAAAAGCGCAAATTCGTTTTCAGAGCAGTTGCGTCTTTTTCGAATTTCATAGACGCGGAAATTTCAAGGAATGAGCTCTATCAAGAATCTCTTACTATCACAAAGAACAATGCCCCGCATTTAGCAACGCTGATTGATAAGATTGAACAACTGTCCTATCCAGTGGCCAATAGTGACTTATTAACCATGCAAAAATATCTATCCTAATTAGAAAATCTGGGTAAGGTGTGTCAAAATCATTGCGAATTTTGTACAGCACTTGAATATTTTGATATGGCCTTGCAGTGTGTTGACAAGAGCGAAGTTTTAAGAAGGCATCAATCTACTCAAACCTGGGTGTTGTACACAGCGACATGGGTAACCAAGAGGAGGCCAAAGACTATTACGTACGTGCACCGGAAATTCGTCTGAAAAAGCTTGGATCTGACCATGTAGATGTCGCATCAAGCTACAATAACCTGGTTGTTGTACACAGCGAAATGGGTGACAAAGAGGGGGCCAAACACTATTTTGAACGTGCTCTGGAAATTCGTCTGAAAAAGCTTGGACCTGACCATGTAGATGTCGCAAAAAGCTACAATAAGCTGGGTGTTGTTCACAGTGATATGGGTTGATATGGGTGACAAAGAGGGGGTCCAAGGATTTTTACGCACGCGCTCGGGAAATTCGTCTGAAAAAGCTTGGACCTGGCCATGTAGATGTCGCAAAAAGCTACAATAAGCTGGGTGTTGTACACAGCGACATGGGTAACCAAGAGATGGCCAAGGACTATTACGCACGTGCACTGGAAATTCGTCTGAAAAAGCTTGGAACTTACTATGTAGTTGTCGCAACAAGCTACAGTGACCTGGGTATTGTGCACAGCAACACAGATGACAAATAAGGAGCCCAAGGATTTTTACGCACGCGCACTGAAAATTCGTCTGAAAAAGCTTTGACCTGACCATGTAGATAACGCAAAAAGCTATAATAAGTTGGGTGTTGCACACAGCGATATGGGGGACAAAGAAGGGGTCCAAGCATTATTACGCACGCGCACTGGAAATTCCTCTAAAAAAGCTTGGACCTGACCATGTAGATGTCGAAAAAGGCTAAAATAAGATGGTTGTTGTACACAGTGACATGGGTGACAAATGGGGGGGCCCTAACTTTTTTACGCACGCGCACGGGAAATTCGTCTCAAAAGCTTGGACCTGACCATCTAGATGTCGCAAAATGCTACAATAAGCTGGGTGTTGTACAAAGCGACATGGGTGACAAAGAGGGGGTCAAAGACTATTACGCACGCGCAATGGAAATTCGTCTGAAGAAGCTTGGACCTGACCATGTAGATTTCGCAACAAGCCACAATAACCTTGGTGTTGTACATAGCGGCATGGGTGACAAAGAGGAGGCCAAAGGCTATCACGCACGTGCACTGAAAACTCGTCTGAAATAGCTTACACCTGATCATGTAGATGTCGCAGCAAGCTACTATAACCTGGGAATATTGGTTTAGCTCATTAGCTTTTCAAGCTTATAAAATTATTGTTTAAGCCGTTGTTAGAAAAGAAGTCACACATTGCGTGCGTGTGTTACAGGCTAGAATACTTTATTTTACTTTAATCATTTTCTCAACAAACTTAACATACATACAAAGCTGAGAGGAAGGCCAAGAAACAAGAACAGGTTCCCTTACAAAAGGCTACCCAAAAAAAAACATTACATATACCTATATACATATAATATTAATATAATAATAATAATGATATTAATAATAAAATAGGTTAATTCAGCGTCTAACTGGTATAAATAAGTCTTACAGAGACTTTTAAAATCAGAAAGAGACTCAGACTTTCTGACATGCGTAGGTAAACAATTCCAGGCTTTAACTGTTCTATGGAAATATGAATTTTTAAGCATGTTTGTTCTCGCTATTGAGTTTTAAATGACAGATCAGCATTTCCTAGTTCATATGCTTAATTTTTTCTGGAAATAATAAAACTAGATAAGTTAATATTTAAGAGTCCCTTTAAACGTTTGTAAAAGAAGATCAAGTCAAGTAGATTCCTTTCAGACTTAAGGGTTAGAAGATGGCGAGATTTTAACCACTCCATGTAAGACTTTCCTTTGATCATGAGTCGCGTGGCTCGTCTCTGAACGCATTCAATCATGTCTTGTAAAAAGGCTTGATGAGGGGACCAGATTTCGCAGGCGTATATTCAAGGTGAGGCCGCACAAGGTGTATGTAAAGCTTGTGAATCACAGCAGACTTTGTCTGATTTCCACATTTCCGTTTAATTAGCCGCAGGATCTTATTGGCAGAATTGACTTTTGTAAAGATGTGGTCATGCCATGCTAGTGTGTGATGTAGCATTATACCTAGATCCTTTTGCGTGTCAGATAGGAGTAATTGTTCTGTACCAAGATGATAGATATTGTGGATTGGATTTTTCTTCCTCGTTATACAGAGCTGTTTACATTTCTGTGAATTAAAATTCACTTCTCATAGTTTACTCCAATCATGTAGAGCTGAGAGATCGTTTTGGAGGGTGTAACAATCATTAAGGACGTTAATCACTCTGGCAGTGCTCGATTTTGAAACCTTTCGTTACACATTCATCTCTTCCTTTATCTTACTCAACAGACACGTTCGTTCTATCATTTCCCGTTTAGGATTCGATTTTCATCGGAAAAAACCACTCGATTTATTTTTCCATAATGAAAAGAACGTAATGGGTCACTTCAAGTCACTCTTGTTTCTTGGAAACGAAAAACAGTCACACACTGTGTTAAGAGTGAACTTACGCAGTGATTAGTTCGACTGCCTTAATAGGTCTTATTTGTCACTTGCATGGGAGGCCGAGGAAGCTTCACCGCTCATTTTAATTACATATACTGGATTGCTTTCCTCAAGAAAAGCTGGAACTACATGTATAAGAATAGGGTCGATCGGGGATTCTATGAGCTCATTTTGCTTCGATCATTCATCATCGCTTGGTCTAGTGGTGGAAATCAGCTGATGCACTTAGATCATTTTTAAAACACGCGGTAAATTGTCTTTATTATAAATTAGTGGTTTTCTGGAATAGGCCGTTGTTCGGTTTGACAACCATTGTTATTCAAGCGTGGGCTGAAAACAATGGAGTCGAACTCGAAACACGCCATTTTCAAAAGGAACTTCAACAGGAAATTTTAAAGCTGTGAGAAATAGTGGTTGTCTTTCACTAATTTTCAAAGTTAAAACGGATTCTATTTCAGGAGAGCTCCATCTGACATTTCCCGCTCTTGGGATTTTGGAAGCCGGTTTGAGTTTTTAAAAAATCGCTTTTGAAATCGGCCTTTTATTAAAAATGTCCGTTTTTCGTTATTTTCAAAGGCTCAGAAATAGTCCTTATACTTTCTCAAACTGCCTATTTTAAGATTAAATTAAAGAGAAACCCTTACTCTTCAAAAACCCGCTCTTGGGTTTCTCACTTATTGCTTTTACTTAATGGGAAAACGAGTTTTATTAACGCTGCTACGCTAGTTTCGCTCTTTCTTCTCTGATTCTGGGCTTTTCAGGACGTGATAGCATTCAATTCTCCCGCTTCAGTGCTCATGAATAATTGATGATGTCCAGGCATTCTGGGCGTTTTACACAGCGACACAGTTGACAAATAGGGGGCCAATTCAAAGCGTATTGTAATTGAGCACTGGAAATTTTTCACTGACAAAGGCTATCAGGAAACCTATCACCTATCCATTTTCCAAAGATAACACTATAAAAGAAATAACGCTATTACAATTTAAAAAGATGTAAGTTTCAATTTAGCTTTGACCTACGTAATGACCAGTTTTCTAGCCCTCGGTTTAAACGATGACAAAAATAGCTTTGCTTCGTTTAGTTTAATTGAGCTGAGTCGAAAAACGAGATAAGTAAGATAGCCGCGAAAACTGTAGGCCGCCAAATATCATGTATGAAACCTTATCGTGGAACGACCAACCGGTCAAGTGCAGTTTTCAAAGTACCTGTCCCGCGGGAAGACGCATTAAAAGATTGAAATAATCATCATTGGAACATGGGGTAGGTGGGGGTGTAAATCTCGCACTTCATCTCCTCTAACGACACTCATTGAGCAAGCCATAATGAGCATTATCAATCGTAAGTCGATTAATTCACTGCAATGCAATTTCAATATTTCGTGAATGACAATTCCTCCAATAACGGTATTTCCTTAGTTATTAATATCTCACTGTCATTCTGCTCAGCTCGAGTAACATCATTTGCATAATTATATCCCATTAGTTCCATAAGTGGCCCACAAGCCTCCTCGAATAAAGGTACTAGAGAGGGTTCTAGTTCTGACATCCAGTGATCAATTCTAGCTACAATCTTCGGTGAGAACTGAGAACCAGTCGCGCTAACAAGTTGTTTACCTCCAACGATCCACTCATGAATAGATTCAACCATTGGAAGACCAACAAAATCGTAAAATTTCACCGCATTGACTAAAGGATCTGTAACGATGTCTTCATAACGCACAAGCTTGTAACGGTCGAAAAAGTCATACCAGTTTTGTTTCACATAGTTTAAATTGTCAACCACCTGTGAGCACAATAATTGCGCATTTTTCTTAACCAATTCCTTAGCCTCTGGAGTCAAGTTTCCTGATGAAAACATTAAATTCCTGGAATCCTGAATAAAAAATTTACGCCTCAATAACGAAGATAGCATTGCGCGTGGATCTCTCACGAGGTGGATAAACAAACAGTTGAACTGCATACCATTAGAGTTACAGAAATTCTGCAGTTCCTGTATTCCAATTTTACCTGGTAGCCTTGTCTGCATAATTTTTGCCACTGTTATTTCTTTTGCCAAGCAAATTTTCTTGACAGTTTCATTTGTGATTTCTGAGTTCAATAAGCGCCAATACATAAATGCAAGACGCTTTGGCACATTCAAAAATTCAGCAAAAATTCTCCTCAAACTCTTTTTTTCCTTAAATTTACATGTGAACAGGTCGCGAAGCAAATTGGAAAAGTCAGTTTTGTATGCATCGTTTGCTGTTTTGTTCAGTGGAGTCCAGTCCTCTCCATATTCAACTTTTCTCAAGTCATGAAGGGGTTCATAGAGATAGAACACATCTGGATGCAAATTAAAAATGTTTCCGGAGAAGGATGAACCGGAACTCATATGGGTCAGAATTATCACATTCAGTCGCTTCTTCTCTTTGTGCGTAGAGCTACTTTCCTGGCTCAGGTTTTGGTAATTTTTGTGGAATTTCTCCGTTGATACCCCCTTGTACATTCCAATCAGAAGGCTCATTTGCACACAAACCAAGAAAACAACGAAAAGACTAAAACCAAACAGGACACAGAAGCGATTTCCTTGAAAACTGCAACGAAAACATAGTTCATATGAGTAGCCCTCTGTACAATTAATATTATTAATTAATATTAATTAATATTAATTAATATGATTAATCATGAAGAAGTTATTCCTCGTCTATTGATCGGCGCCAACAGATTTTTGGTGATCGTAGTATTTCCATAGAGCCAAAGGAAACCCCAAAAAACCTTTAGATATCCTACGCTTCAGAATAAGCTCAGATCGTGGGAAAGAATAACAACTACTGCGCAGTTTGAGAACGTAAGGATGGGCGGCGTATTAGCGCCATTGGGAAATCCTCTTGAGGCAGAAGAGATTTTATTGATATAGCTGGTAAAGCTGGCAGTGTTTTAACTCCACTAAGAAACCCCAAACTGGTCGATTCAGTGTTTTCTGTTTACGCTCAATTCAATGAAATAGTGATTTAAATGAAAGTAAATGGGAAAGCAATTATATGAATTCTTATCAGAGAGAAATAGCAGCGAAAGGACATAATTTTGTTTTCAACGCGAAATCCCAATTTGCACACTTTCGTAATACTCGTAAGCATTAAAGTTGCGAGTTCATAATTCTCCCCACACGGAAATCAGGATGCGTTTGTACTAAGAATTAATTGATTCCACGTTATTTAATTGCTTATTTACCCTTACAATGATCACAACTTAGCCTATAAATTTAGATATGCTGGTTGGGAATTTGAACAAAGCAGTCAATTCTATATTATCCAATGGCTTGTTCAAACTTACGAATATCTTAATTTACCTTAGAAATTTACAAAAACCGGAGGGGCTTGTCCAGTACTTCCTTCGGCCTGGCATGACCTTCACTTCGAAACATGAATTCGGTAGAGAATTACTGACGTGGAATTATAATATGTCGAGATAGATTTATGGAGACGAGTCCTAACTGGTTTTTATGGTGTCAAGGAAACAAAGATTGGATTCAAAATATCCTTATGTCATTTATAACGTGTTATTATCAGCAAACAATGCATGTAGCCTGAATTAAAAAAAAAAATAAGAAATGGGGTAAGTTTCTAAAGAAACTGTGCTACTGGATCGGTGGGGTTTATCACAAAATGATTTGGTTTTATCGACTACGGTAAGTTGAGTATGTAAATAAGCCACCGTAGAGACATTGATTCTGAAGTGGAAGTTTCGAGCGTTAGCCCTTAATTTGTCAGGAGGAATGGTTTTGATCTGCAGAGGAGTCATTAAACGCTCAAAGCGTCAGCTATAAAAATCTCAATGGTGGCCGAAAATTAAAGTGACTTTTTAAAACCCTTTCTTTATTTTATTTTTCTCACCTACCGCATCATATCAAATCGTTTTATAACCTGTCTCTTAGCAATTAGATATCAAATCCCTCCTTAAATGAACAAATTAATTTCAGAAGCATTTATAACTTAGAAAGCAATTTTCAAAGAACAGATCATCTGTGATCTAACACAGCAGTGTACTGATAATTCAAACAAAGCTAAAGTGAGTGATCAAATGTTCGTTATTTACATAAAAATGCTCTTGAGTAATGATATAATAAAACTTCTTGAATGGTTTTAAATCACGCACGGGTATTTTGCGAATTGCGTGGTATTTTCTCTGCTTGACTTTCAAAGAAGCGAACTTTTAAGTGCAATATAATTATTTCTTGTTGGTCGCAGAGAACACTTGAATTATTTTGTTACTGTTGTCTCCGTCTTTCGCGCAGTATATCGTAAACTAAATGTTTAAATACTACGAAAATTGAATAAAGGTGAAATAATGAATCCCTCATAACATGGTTTAATATTTTGTTTATTGCTCCTATACTGCTAAAATACTGGGCAACTCGCAAAATACCCATGCGCACTATAATGTTTAACCACCGAGTAAGGTTAACATATTCGGGACGACCGTAAATGGCCATCAATGGGAGGGAACGCACCTTTCATGGAAACCCATTCTGCGGTGCTTCATGTTTATCAGACAAACTACGAATCTCAAGGTTATTGTCTACAAAATAGGGTGCTACTTTGAAAGAACGACAGAAAACTATACATCGCTGCTAAACTATCGAAGTATACATGTAGATTCTAAAAATTTCAAAAGTTTTGACAGTTTTTGTTTTGGTAGGCACGCGCAAATCTTAAAAAACAAAACTGATGATGTATGTTTAACTAACTAACCTTCGCGTTGATGCGGTCATCCAAATAAAGAAGAAAATCTATTTTAAATTTGAACGATAAAAAGTATGTTGGCTGTTTTCATGCGTTGGGAAGTCTAATAAGAAAAGAAGACGACAGAGAAATACACACCTTTTAGAGTATTGTTAACTGACGAATATTCCGGCCGAGTTTCATCAAAATCCGTCAAAACAACGTTCCCTGTTAACTCGTTTAAGTAGAGGTAACCTGCCTAAAAACAAACTTCGAGATTTTTGCTTACAGAGAAATTCACAGTTTTCGCACCTCGTTTTGAGCGAATATCGATTTGGCCATGCTGCCAACCAATGAAAGACAACATTGAACTCCCTGGCAAGTCCTGTGTGAGAGAGGTCCATTGAAATTCGAGGGAAGGGTCATCTCGAGACCTCACCAGGGAAAACAGTTAAATGAAGTTCAAAACATCCGTAAGGAAAAACCGAAAGGTAAGGTCAAACGCTTTCGCTTCATCAAAAACTTCTGCCTTCAACTTTTTGGGCTCAGGACTTCTCTTAGATTTGCCCCGAGGTGACTTCTCCTTTTTGATCGTTTCCTGAAGACTCTCACTTCTCAAAGTTTCGGTAAATGTAACAAATTCACTTCTTTTATGCGGTGCAATACGCGATGTAAACGAAATCTCGGATGGAATTCCACGGAAAAACATCAACGCTATTTGAGATTTTCGTATTATTATCGCCCTGAAAAACTTTTCGCGACCAGCGACAGAAAACATACCATAACTTCGACTGTCATCGAATTTTAAATTTGAACCCCTGAACGTTACATTATAGAATGCTCACGCAGAAAAACTTAATCGTTCAGTGCGTAAAACTCGCGTTGTAACTCTCCGTCTTTAAACTCGATATTTTACTCTACATACCTTACGAGGAGGGGGGGAGGGGGTGGGGCAAAGTCAGCAATTGGATCACACCACGTCAGAGGCAAGTCACATAATACTTAGGGACAAATATATGAAGCAGATTACACCTATTCCATCGCTTAAAGGGGTATATCATCCTGTCTTGTCCCGGATAAACTGTTATACCGGCCAGAAAATGTCGCCTTACAAATATCCTTTACTTTTCTCTTCAGATCATGTTTCCTTAGGGTGTAGATTAATGGGTTAGATATTGAGGTACAAAGGCGAAGGTAGTAAATGGTGTTGGAAATTTGAGTTGGCACTTGCCCCTGATGGTACTGTTGTAGAATCTCCATGATAAAATACGGCAACCAGAAAAAAACGTACAGGGCTAAGAGCAGAACACAAGTCAAAACAAATCTTCTTTGTCTTTTTTGCATCCTCTGTTCGTATTCCATACATTGTGATGGCATATTTTCACGCGCAATTCTCGCGCATTGTCTGCGAAGCAACAACAACATGCGCGCGTCGAGAACAATCATGACAACCAATGGAATAACGAAAAACACGATGATATTGAACAAAAAGAAGATTGTCTCCTGCAATTCTTCCCGAGCAAGGTGTTCTTCCGATTTGTTGATGTTAAGGTCCCACGTCCACCAAAGGCGAACTAAGGAAGCAAGGCTGAGGAACCATGTCACACCAAGGACTGCCACGACCCTACAGCGGTTAACAATATCTTGGTAGCGTAACGCCCACGTGATATAAATGTAACGGTCACAGGTCATAACTGAGATATGTAGCACAGTAGACAGTGCTGTAAATGTGTTAAAGGTATAAGTGCTGATACAGAGGGCAGATATCATTGTGGTAGAACATGCCAAGAGGATTGGAATATTAACCAGACCCACTAGGAAGTCCGATACGGCCAAACTGGCCAGGATGATATTGCTGGTTGTTCGTAAAGATGAGTAAGATCCGATGAGCAGAATCACACAGCCATTTATCACTAGTATGAATACCATAAAGACCAGAGCTGGAACTGCCACTAAAGGGAAACCATGTTGGACACCATCCGAGTCTGTTACTTGCGTTGAGTCATTAGACCCGGTCGCATTTCCTTTGTAGTCAGTCTGATTAATCATGATATCCGGTATATCTCGTCAGGATATTAATATTCAGTCAAGAAGTATCTTTCTTAGGATTCTCAGAAATTCCGTGTCCAGCTTATGCAATTGTCTCTGAAAGCAAAACAAACATTTGGTTCAATTGTTTTGGAAAGATATCCAACAGATAAACGCATTTAGATTTCAGAATTTCGAGCTCCCCGGGCTCTGTACGAGGAGTAGAGTTCTAAAACTGGAATTGTCCGATCCCGACTGGGGTATGACTTTTCAATGTTTCGAACTCTTCCCAAGCTTCAAGTGACACACGTCAGAAGAACGGACACATGCAGAGGTCATTACAGCCTTTGAAAATTAAAGAGGTTTATCGGGTCACGGCTAAACATTTATACGCCAAATTATAGTGTAAAAACGTCCGAATTTAGAATTGTCGCAAAACTAAAGCGCAATTAATCTTAATTAGAATTCTCACGTTCTCGGTTAGTTTGGGTCAATTTGCATTTGTACGGCCGCAAACACGCTTGAGAAGACTTCTGCTACTCAGATCTTCGACCTCACGTAATGTCAATCTTTCCACTACCGTCAACTTTCGGTCTGTGCTTTGTCTCTCTGCTAGATAATTTGGTTTTATCAACGAAGTAGATAATGTAAATTAGCCACCGTAAAGAGTAGCCGACGTTTCGAGCGTTGGTTCTTCGTCGAAGCGTCCCTCTGCTATCTATGTATGCAAGAGCTTTGTGATGATAATTTCAGAGTACAACTTTAGCCACTTTAAAGAACGAAACGAAAAATTAACTGCATCTTCTCCCCTAGTCGACAACATAAATCCGACTACTCTGACAAAATTTTTGATGGCGGGTTAATCAATTAACTAAGCTGCCTGTTTGCGAACAGAATTCATTTAAAATTCGTTCTTGACTTCAAATAGTCCGGCAGAATATCATTAAGTTATCCTTAGCATTGTAGATTGAAAATGAAAAAAGGAACGTATTTGTAAGTTTCAGATAACCGGTAGCTTTGAAGAAGCTCAGCGCTAAGACAACGGTGGCACGTTTGAAACTAGTACAGTTTTGAGAAGTTTACATCATTTATTCCCGATCTGTTTCATGGTTTATGGAAAAATAAATTATTCATCCTTTCTACGAGTTATTATAGCGTTCAAAAAGAAAATGACTTTTTGTATTTTTAAAGAAGAAAAGTTTAGATTGTGCAACAGTTTTCATCAATGACGTGTTCAAAATTAAAGAAAAGATTTTGAAATATTTCTGCGAATGTTATTCACAAAAGTTTCAGAAATGCCCCCAAGATTACGGACTTACCGAGTGTTTGCTGTCCAAGGCTGACAATTTGGAGTTAAAACTTCGCGAAGGAAAAATTTAAGAGAAATTTTCTGTCCTTATGCGGCTAATTGTAATTAGAGCGCAATTCGAATTTCCGTTCAGTAAAACCAAATTAGGAGCCATCTGCACACACGCTGAGCGTCTCTAAAAACAATTCAGCTTGTAATCAGTGGAAAAACAAACACGCTTCTTTAACCTTGTCATTTCATTTCTAGCATTGTATCAACATTCCTCGTTATTGTGCTAATGTTTATTTTACTTTCTCTTTAAACAAGCGGATAAGTGTAATTTTTTCCTATACTAATTGGCTGAAGGCTTAGACACTACCATGCTAATCTGACGGATACAATCTTGGCGTTGAGAAAACCAAAATAAGGACAAAGTGAACGAAGACTTTTAATGGAAAGATTTGCCATCTTTAATTCTTCATCTCAACTTAGTGCGCTTGACATCGCTAATTCAATAGGAACGCAGGACACATGGATATCTATTGTGATAAAATCCACTAAATACATCGTGCAACACGCAATGGAGTTTTGCCTGTTCCATTATGTAACTCAGCTTTACGATGGACTTAGTTTTTTCTTAGTTCTGCGCCTTACGATTATAAATACCTTTCGAAACTTCTCTCCCAGCGTTTTAATTATGCTGTGAAGCCTCTATTATCCGGATTTTCGATTATCCGGACTTGCTTCTCTGAGCCTATAAAATGTGAATATTAATATTCATATTTTCGATTAGCCGGCCCAGTCCCCACGAGTCCGGATAATCAAGGTTCGACCGTATTAGTATTTATGATGCTGATGTTGAAAGTGAATATTTCTGGCGAGCAAAATTCAAACACCGCTACGAATTGGAACACCCTCTGTCGCATGAAATGATAATAAAAGGGCCATACTCGTACAGATGCATAAAGATTTAATTTCAGATCGGTCAGTGGTTGATAAACTTCGTCAAGTCATTTTCAGATCATCTCGAGCTTGCTCAAGTTTATCACTGATTGAATGATAAATTTCTAGCCACAGTGTATTAGATGAAAAACTTAAATGTCCCGCCTACTTTCTGATATTAATCTACTCAATGTGATTGTATCGGAAGCCATGAGAAACAGGTTTATCATTAATTAAGAGACCGTCCAATGAATTCTCATTTAGGGTCGTTTCAAATGAATGCCAATCATTTTAACCGAACATAGACACCAAGGATGCCATCACGACATAAGGTAAATTCCGATTTTCATACTTTACTGAAGCCTTCTAGCCATTTCTACCAGGGAAATCTTCATTTTCTCTTTTCTTACAATTCTTCTGGTGTTAATCTCAAACGAGGCAATTAATATATCTAAGCAACACATGGCAATCTGGGGTCTTTCCTTACACTTAGGTAGCACGGAAAGCCGGAAAACTCTTGAAGAAAAGCTTATCTTTCAAACCGACAGTCTAAATCCCACAGGTATCAACGAACGCTTTTCATTCCACTAATTTATTCGTGTTTTTCTCGTTGCCATGTTCCCACCAATCACGTAGCTCCTTTTTCTGCCTTTAAAAGCACACACAACCCACAATTCCTCTATTCGCTCCGACGAAGGGCTAACGCTCGAAACGTCAGCTTTTATAATCTTAACCGTGGCCAATTTACCATTTCAACTTTGTTGATATATCCAAATTATTTCGTTACTCCCACCGACGCAGCCCCAAACAGTTTCTTTAGAAACTATCAGCCTTTATTCAATTAATATATCAAACTTAAGTATAGATTTACTGGCGCTCTATCACAAATACTGTAGTCTAATTGGTGAGCTTCTCCTAATCAATCCCGTTATAGATAGTGAGTTAAGTGAGCATTAGTATTGGTTTGAGTTTTTAAACAAAATAAGCAAACGGAACATGAGCTGCCTGGCTGAGCTCATATGTCTTTAGAAGAAAACTAATAAAAAGCTACATCATTCACTCTCGATGTCTATGCGTGATAGTCAATTCGGGCTCCGCCCTTACCAATTATGATGAGATGAAATTTCATCGAGGTCATAATCTTATTGCTAAATGCCGGGATATTGACTAAGATTAAGCAAAACGTAAAGGGCTATTTCCTTTTTTCTATGAGCAATATATATAATTTTCAGAGCTTGAAACTCATGATCACTTGACGATCAAATTCTTTTTTTTAACCTTTTACCCTAAGAGTGACCAGGATCTAATTTCTCCTTACAGTACCCCCCTGAGTCACACATTAACGTCACGAGAATAAAGGAAATGATCGCCAACTAGAAAAGAGCTCTTGATTGTTAAACAAACTCTCCTTGTCTACCCCTTAAAAAAATGTATACAGACCATTATAGAGATGTCAGAGTTATACACTCTTCAAGTCTCCTCTTTGTGCAGTATTTGGATTTATAACATAACCAAAGTAAAGTGCGTGCTCTGATTGGTCAGTTCAGCGCCCATCATTTGCCCATGGATGTACGCTACTGACGTGAACAAATGCAAAGACTAGTTTTCTGCGCGGGCTTGTTTTTTTCTGTCAAATAAAAGAAAACTCTTTTGCTACAATGTGTATCAATGTTATGTTATAAGAAATGGTAAACGCCACAGTGTACACTATTGAGTTATGGACGCACTTAGGAGGTTTGCTAAGCACTTAAGAAGCTACAGTCGCCCTCGGCTATCGCCTCGCGCGACTCTTACGCTTCTTTCATGCTTAGCGACCTCCCGAGTGCATCCATAACTCAATAGTGTACACTGCGATGTTTACCATTTGTTAATTCTCGTGCATTCTACACTCAGCTGTTCCGTGAGCCTATTTACTATTAAACCGCTGATGTAAGTGTAGCATATAATTGTTATGAAACTGGGAAATACGTTTATAGACAGGTAGGTTGCGAACTTATACATGAAAGATTCGTAGCTACATATTGAACACCAAGTGAAAATCTTTCTTCATACTGAAGAAAAGGGAGTGACAGGGTATATGCACAGACTAAAAATAAAGGCTGAATGTACCAAAGAAAAGCTACAATTTTTTTCAGAAAACAAGGTTTTAAAAATGAAAATCTTGATCGATTCCGCTAAAATATTTATTTTTCAGCGCTTTAAATTCTAGCTCTAATATAGAAATACTGCATGTAACGAATGATCAATTTGCTTTCGCTTTTTCTGCCTAACAACCACCGTCGTTATCTCATAAGGAACACTGATGCATTAAACAAGGAGTTAGTTATGGACGCCATTCTGCATTAAGATGAGCTTAGTGCGTCATAAATTACTTCAGGGCCTCAGCAGCTTCTAAATTGTTTACCATTATTCAGTTACATCCGCTCAAAATGTCCATCAGTATAAGCTGAAAAAAGCTTCGTGTTCACTCACCGTTTAGAAGAGTTCCTATGCTTTCATAAGCTTAGATCACCATGCAACGATACTTTAAACTGGAAATGCCTCTGCTGCGACCTCAACCAAAACGAAATGAACTCTGCCCTCAAAGTTTTTTTCAAGACGCGCACAATATGTACATACCTGGCTGATGGCAGTATTCTATTTTTTATTCTTCAGCGCGGCCTTTAACTGGTCGCCCCCTTATTGGTTCTAAAAGCTCCATAATATTATGATATTGCCCGATCGGTTTTTCGAGATCCATAGCTCCAGGATAAAGTCATATGAAGTGGCTATTTCAACACGGTTTCATGTTTTGGCAAAAAAAATTCCAAAAATGACAACATATTGATCACGGCGTTGAAAATATTTACAAGTTTATCAGCCTGTTAGTTCCCACGGAGGAAAAAAGACACTTTCTTCTCCGAGACTTTGAGGTAAAGTTGAACGGAGGAAAATGAACTACTCTTGCCAAAAATGTCAAACAATTCATTTTTGTTTGGCGAGTGATATTAATCTCTTTTCCGGCAGATACGAGGAGCGATTGATAAATATTTGCCCTGTATTGTCGAATCAATAAAATTATCTGCTTTTTTTTCTGAAGTGGATAAGAGAGTACCCACTCCTGTTAAAAAAGAAAAATGTGAAAGATCAGTTTGGTTATTTTTGCTGTTTCTGTGTCATTGTTTATCGTAGTGATGTATTCCATATTGTTTTTGCTGTTGTTATTTATCTAGATTTTACCAGGTAAGTAATTGGAGCAAATCTAACCAAACTCGCGCGGATGATGAAAGCCGAAAGATAGATAAAAAAATATTCACATGAAAATTCTGGATCACCCGACGTCGTCGCATTCTTAAGGCTCTGTTTACAAGCAGGTAGGGTAACCCTAGTGCAAGGGTTACCCTGGCTGGAGGGTTACCCTAACGCTCCCACATTTCTTCTTTTTTTCATCGACGTGTTTACAAGGCAGCTAGGGTTACCCTAGCACTAGGGTAACCCTAGCGCCAGGGTAACCCTAGCTGCCTTATAAACGCTCTGCTGGGGATAACTCGCCTACCCGGGACAACTTTTTACTTGTTTCCAGACCCTTTGAACATTGATAACAATGCGTGCGGTTACCAAGCATAGGTAAGTTGTCCTGGGTGGTAGGGTAACCCTACCTGTGAAATTTTGCTTGTAAACCGGGGCTATCTTTGACCCGCCTGCTAGGGTAACCCTAGCACAAGGCTTACCCTCCTTGCTGGAACTTACCCAGGCGTAGAGCCCAGGACCACTTAGTAGAAAGTAAGAAATACACTTTGAGACGTGAAAGTAAAGATCATTCAGAAATAACTTGTGTTTTCTAAATATATCATGTTGCCGTATTAAGCACTTGTAGCCCTGTATTATTTTCGATTTCTTTGCAAATTTCTTTGATTGTAGTCTGTAGTGGATTTGTATAAATTCAGTCTTAGACACTAATTGATTTCCGAAATACGACTATGAGGAGAGTCTTCAAAAACAAAAAAACAAAAAAACAAAAACAAAAAAAAAAACACTCGAAAAATCCTACCTGGTGAGACAATCTGGTTCAGCAACTCTGTAATTTTTTCTTAGGCCAGCGTTCACGTTTATGTGCAAGTAATTAGCGAATGACAATTGCATATCGGAGGAAACTTTCGATTGGAGTATCGAATGCAATTAGGTATTACTTTTGTCTCCATTCACTGCGTCCGGTGCGTTGCCAGGTTGGCCTTTGTTATTAGTTTGGCTTTGGTTTTTTACGACACTCCCCGAAATATTTTTCCGCAAGAGAAAGTGTTTACTTCTGTGGGCGAGTAGTTGCGTCACTGCGCTCTGGCGAATTAAGAATTGCTTTTTAATATTTTTCTCGTTAACAATGTCTACAGAAAGGGTGGGAACAGGTGTTGTGGTTCGTTGAGTTTTGCTAGAACTTGTTTATGGTCAATTCTCGGCATACCCTTCGGTCGAAAGATTAAACGTGGCCGTTGGACAACAAAATTATAAATTGCTAATTGTCTGCTTTAACATTAGGAAAGGGAAAAAACATAATGAAAACGTTATTAGGAAATCTTTTCAAACTGGCTTTTAAAGTCTGAAACTAATTTGTTCTCGCTTTTTTGAAACAAAAGCAGAAACGAAGTCTATTTAGAAAAAAAAATTTTAAGAAAGAAATGCCGCAGTTTAATAAGAGAATTGTTCGAAATTCAATTCATTGATATGTTTGAAAGGTTGGTCATATAAACATCTTTATCCGTACCTTTTCCTAACATAAAAAAAAAGAAAAAAACTTCTGATAACAATAAAGGATTGAAATGTGACGTTCTCACAAGAGATTTCTAAAGCATTTAATTTATCGAAATACTCAAAAGTTTTGTTCATCTGTCATCTGTTTGAAAGTGTAAATGTAAGTGTCAAGTTGTACTTAAAGTAAGTAAAACTTAAAATTTCGAAGTCACGCGCTTAACTTGGAATTTTATCGAGCAACTTGGCAAAATGTTTACAGGGTTGCCTTATCTTTCCAACGAAGTGAACAACATATGTCTGCAAAAATTCAAAACCAGCAGAATTAACTAGTTTGGTATCAAACGACTTAATTGGGATACAACTGGAATAATTCGCTCCATATGAACCAGCTTGTTTAGCTTCAGAACAACAACTTGGAATTTCACAATGTCGAACCAACAATCCCGAGTTTTCTCGTCTGAGTCGTGAAGATAAATAAAGGCGGAGAAAGGAGGCGGAGGAGGAGGTTCGGCTAAGCTTTCAATGAACTGGAAAAAAATGTATGCATAAAAAATATTTTCATTGATTAGTCTTTGGCCACCCACTGCGTTCTACTTTTTTGCGCTTTGGTTCAGTTTCAAAGATAAAAAAACTGAGATAAGGTAAAGATGAAAACCGAAACAATGAGTGAAAATAGTTACTTACCTTGTCGGCTCAAATCGGACGTGCCAACGCAACGAAATTCAATTAAACCTGCTCCATGCAAGAGCGTATGAGGAATGAGTATCTATACCAATATATTTCACTGAGTTTTATCTTCTTTGTGCGATCGATAGGTTTTAACTAACCATTTCATTTTATGAACTTTGTCTTCGCCCCCAATCACCAAGGTGCTGTTATAATGGTTCGAGGTCGAGTCGCAGTAAACTAGTTAAGACAGAGGCCACAATACACAGAATTGACAGGTACGAGTATTCAGTACAATACTGTTCCGTCGGCTTTGTAGATAATTACGCTTAAGACGGGATTAACATGCAGAAAACACACAATACGTCTTTGAAAATAACCAACCAGATGCGTCATTCGTGACACGAAAACTAACTTAACATGGATTACACTGAATAATTAGACATTGTTTATTCAAAAGCTCTTTTTAAAGAGTTCTTCAATGGTATTCAATTCGAAACAAAGGCTAAGCGTCAGCAGAATAAAAAGGTTTACTGTACTTTCAAGCGATGTAAGGAAAACACGCGAAATCATTTAACCTCATGACTGGAAACATTTGGTTAGTCACGAAAAACTTTTCAAGTGCCTGAAATTTTGAAAAACAAGTCAGTTTATGCTTAAAAATATGGAAAACGAGTATGTAAATTGGAAAAGCAGGTGTACAGAAAACGTGCGCCGGCTCCAAAACAACGTCTGCGTCAAAAAACAGCAAGCTTTTATGTTTGGTGAGACCGCAACTTAAATCATCTATATATCTATTTACATGAATGAATACAGATGACAAGTTGAAACTCACGTTCAAACAAGCCACAAAATTCCTTTTATATGTTAAAGAACATTCTTGAAGTTGGAGCACTAGTTTAAATTGAACTCGTTCAAAGCGGATTGGAGTTCGGCTATAATTAAGAACAACATCGACGTTTCCAGCAACGCCAGGTGTTCGAATGAGTAGCGCAATATACAGAAACTTGTTCAACTGAAACGGTTGGCAGAAAATTAGAATTAAAATTAGCAACCTTCTCGCAGAAAACTGATGTACGCACAGTTAAAGACAAAAAGTTATTTTTAGTTGACTACATTGTGACCGGTAAAATAGAAAAAAATTGCGGGAAAGCTTCAATTACACACTTAAAAGTACGTGGTTTATAAGAGAAACACACGAAAAACTTACGTGATGAAAGTATAGAAAAATAAATCGATATAAAAATTCAATTTGATGACCCACGCGCTTTGGCTCAATTAGCAGCTTTCTAGAAATCTTCAGAGAGTCGAGGTGCTCGAAGATCACACTGGAACTGGAGTGTTGATTACATACAACTTTTGAAGAATGGCTTAAAAACAAACAGGCGGTGGCCAGAGAGCGTCTGCCTTTACGCCAGCGCTGCGCATGCTCCTTTATGTATTTTGAGCAGGAAAAAAACAATTGAGTTTTTTAAAGGATTTTCAGTATGCATATACTCTTTGAGACCTACTCGTACGATTGTTGAGACTGAGATCAACCAAAATCTAAAGCTAGGTTAGGAGGAAGAACAACTCTTGAGAGTCGGTGGATCATAAACGCCGGTTTTTGTCCTCAATTTTATCTCGCCTAAACACTCTTGGTTGAACCCAAATTTAGCAAGACATTTGTGGGCGCGACATCCTGTTAGCGGCATTCGCGCAACTTACATGAGAGGTTGACAAGAAACCTGATCCCTCATAACGTCCGCATTGAAAAAACATTTCAAGAGTGTTTTCAGCCGTAAATCGACAATTCAGCCTCAGATAAGAATTTTTACGTTCTTAGGCTTCATAGCGAATATTTATAACCCAGAGATGCTATTGCAGTTATGGCAAAAACACGAAAGCTCCGTTGTCATCAAGAGTTACTGGTTCTAATTCAAATGAACCAGTGAATGCAATGGAATAATAAGACTGAATTTTAACTCGGGGAAAAAATTCCTCAATTCATAAAAAAAAGACCGGTTTAGTATTCTCTCATTACCGTCTTTTGGTTTTTTACTTTAAAATAAGATCTCGCCGGAAAATCAGCTTTGTTTGAAAGCGGGGGCTATCTCAAAGACTTTGGCAGAATATTACCTTCCAAAGCACACATTATATCATAGTAAAGTTAATGATAAGCTGGTGATCCATGATTTTTTCAAATGAATAAAGGCTGATAGTTTCGAAAGAAACTGTTTGGGGCTGCGTCGGTGGGAATAACGAAATAGAATAAGGAAGACGGTAGGTTTGAAATGGTAAATTGGCCACCGTAATGATTACAAAAGCTGACGTTTCGAGCGTTAGCCCTTCGTCGGACGAAGGGCTTCGTCGCCCTTCGCTCCGACGAAGGGCTAACGCTCGAAACGTCAGCTTTTGTATTCATTACGGTGGCCAATTTACCATTTCAACTTTGTTGATATATCCATGATTTTTTCAAATTTCCATCCGGTTACTTCCTATTTTTCTCCCCGCCATCTACCCATTTTCTTTCCAACTTAGAAGAGGGTCAGTTTCAAATTTCAAGTTCAAAACCGATGAAACTTAAATTTTAAACGCTAGACATACCCCCTCCTGTAGCTTTAAAAACCGAATATTTAACTGAGTTTCAAGTCCCAATTAGCCTCGAATTTTTCCCATAAGTTTTAAACTCTAAGATTCTTTTTTTTTCAACCTCCGTTTCTTATTCTAATACTTCTATTATCATACATAGAACAAAAATATTGTCTTAAAATCTTCAGTGCTAAAAAGCCAGTTCTGCAACATTTAAAGACGGCAGAAAATATGTAAATTTGAGTTGTCGTCGTAGGACATGTCTATAAGTTAATTTCTTTATGCTGTAAACCGAGAAGCGATGAAATTTTCATGAAATTGGATAATATTGGTCAGTTTCTTTTGCTATTTTTCTTTAATTGACGCTGGAATTTAGGAGTTTTTGTATAAACTGAAACCATTGATCCTTCATTCCTAGCTTATATCATTAAACTAGTAAGGTTGTTAATATTTAAACCACATGATTCTAACAAATAACATCTAGAGTTTGATCAATTCGTAAAATATGGAGGAGGTATTTCCCAAATGGAATAATATATCTTAAAATTCTAAGGACTTGATATTGACCATGTAAAACATTTTTGTTTGTCTTCTAAACGGAACTCTTTACGAGTATATTTCAAGTCAGTGCATTTCGTAGTTTTCTCTGGACCTCTTTTTATGCTATGCGGAAATCATTTGATAAGTTCATTTTTAATTCAAGCCCAAAGGAAATGATATTCATTTAAATTTCTCTCCGAAAAATATGTGTCCAACCATTAATTACAGTACATGTACCGTTGAAGTTGTTCTCATTAACTACTATGGTTGAGTATTTTCTTCCTGTTTCGTTTCGTTGTATTTCGTTTTTGATCGCATTCGTTGACAGACTGAATATAAAATGAAACAATTTCTAACATCTGCAACAATATGATTTTCAAAAGAGTACCTTTTTTACACCGATGGAGCCAATATACGCCTGTAAAACCTTAGGGTCACTTCAGCTTCTCAAAGAGGGACTCTGAGGCCTACGTTACAGTAGACAATAGCGAAGAAACTTGACACAGACAGTGAAGACTTCAAGCAGTGTATATACAACTTATAACGACCTTCATGAATGGATGGACGGATTGCTTAAATTGCTGCACGATATACGTCCTCAAACGTACCTAACGAATCACCGAGTGAATGAGTTACTTTAAGCCTTTGTCGCCTACATATATACATGTATATTGATTCAGCCCTCTGCTAGGCAACTAATATAAAACACGCAGCTGGTTTTAAATTTTACAGTGAATATCTACATGGTGTTAATGTCAGAGATATTTAAAATTCATAAATTGGAGCTTTCGCTACTGTTTGGGATGCTCTTATTGCTCTTTTTTTTTTTGCAGGATTTCGATCATTTAACCATGATAATTTTCACGACAATTTCCAAGAATAATTCTTCAACAATGCGCAAAACTCCAATGCATCTAGATAACCAAAGTTAGAGATGAACAAAGGCATTGTGTTACTCCTCGCAGTTACGTGGCAGTGTTTTTTTTTGATCATATATTTTTTCTCCATAACAGCAGCCTGGTCTATCGGAAATTCAGACAACCCTACCGGTCTAATCTCATAAAATTTGAGCCTTTGGCAAAATTCAGGATTCAAAGCTCGTTTCCGAACGAACGAGAGAACAATTTCTTTTATCTTTATTATCTTTTGACTTTACGTCTTTCTTCATTTAATTTTTCCGCGTTGGATCTATAGCATTCATTATTGATTATACATGGTAAGTGTAGAATTAAAAGAATATATAAGTTTGATAATTTCGTTGACTTGTGTTGTTTCCTGGGGAATACGGGGATAACTCAGGCGTTTTGACCATTAGTGTATCATCATATCTACAGCTACTCTTATCATGTCGAACTACATCATATGAAACCTTCGTCTGGAAGCGTTAAATTTAAATACATTTTTCCAATGTCATTCTTGAATTGGAAATTAGACTCCTGGACGCCCCGAAAAACAAGTCCCAGCGGCAGGTAAAAACTCCAGTGGAGTATTCTGCCTGTGAGGCATGATATGCAAACATATGCAAACATTCATACTCGTAACAGAAAGTTTTCCTCTCAAAATGCCGCTCATAATCAGAGGGAATTATAAAAAAAAGACCTTTCGTAGCAATAAGTTGCCCATAGTACGTCAAGTCCTTAACAGGGAACATCTGGAAGGCTGCACCTTTCGGTTAATAAGTTTTTTATCAAAGCAACTGGATAAAATATTACACCAAAATTAAGTAGTTTACCTTTGCCCACTTGTTCTGTACTTCGAAGCCTGACTAACGATAGGTAAATCTTTGCTAAATTTTTATCAAACAGTGATTAACTCCAGGTTTTACAAATATATACATGAAAAGAGAAATTTGGTACAACCGAAAATGGACTGTTACATCCACAGGTAGAAGGAATTTCAGGTAAAAACTCGGCCTCTCAAGTATCAGGGTTTGGGCCAACTAGAGTGTATATACAGTGTACGCGGAAGGATAAATTTGAATCGCTCTCCTCTTCGCATAGATGAAGATAAATAAGAAAACAGAACGTGAAATATAGGACTATCGCAAGGAATGTTATCCTTTTATCCAGGTTTGGAGTGTGATTTCAGAACTTTATCTTGCGGAATCAAACGAACTTTTCTGGTGAATCATTCTGATTCCTACAACAGAAAACTTTCTTGACGATGTGTTTAGCCTTCTGTTTCAAGTCGTACTTTCTCAAAGTGTATGTCAACGGATTGAACACAGATGTACAAATCCTTAAATAATAGATAACGATGACCACTTGCGTCGGTAACTGACCCTGATGATTCTGTTGCAAGATTTCTAAGATGAAATATGGCAGCCAGAAAATGACGTAGAGTGTTAGTAGTAACACGCATGTCAACACAGCACGCCGACGTCTTCGCTGGAGTCTCTTCTCGCGTTTTACGAACTCCGTTGGTAAATTTTCCCGCGTGATTCTCTGGCATTGTCGCCGCAGTAACAACAGCATGTGGGCGTCAAGAACTATCATTACCATTAGAGGAACAAGGAAGAACACGACAATTTTGAACAAGAATAGAATGGTCTCTTTCTGACGCATGGGGGCCAGGTCTTCTTCAGCTGTCTGCACGTTGATGTTCCACGTCCACCATAGACGAATCAAAGAGCTGAGGCTAAGAAACCAAGTCAATCCGAGCACAGTCAGGACTCTATCACGGCGGACAATTTCGCAGTAACGTAAGGCCCAAATGATGTAAATGTAACGATCACAGGTCATAACGGTGATGTGAAGTACGGTAGACAGGGCCATAAATGTGAAAAAGGTGTAGGAGCTTACGCAGATGGAAGATATCAGTGTGGAGCTGCATGCCACGAGTAGTGGTATACCAACCAGACCTACCAGGAAGTCTGATACAGCTAAGCTGGCTAGGATGACGTTACTTGATGTTCTTAAGGAAGAGTAGCAGCTGATAAGGAGGATGACACCGCTGTTTATAACCAGGATGAAAATCATAATAACAAGGGCAGGTATTGTGTCGAGAGGGATGTCATCATCTAGATTCCCAGAACCCATATTTTTACCAAAGAGAGTGATGTTTCCACCCTTTTCTGTCTGATGACTCATAATTTTTCAACTTGTCGAGCGACTTTTAATCTTCTTCCTCTAATGAACTGTTCTTTGAAATCGTCAATCGATGCCAAAGCGAAAAGACCGATCAGAGTATGGTTTCCCGTTTCTGGCGGTAAATGAACAAAGTAAAACTTTCATTTAACTCTTTTTTTTTAAGCTAAAATTAAGAGTGCGTTAGTAGCTGAGACAATGCATGATGTAAATAATGATGTTATTCCTTCACAATTGAAGGATTTGTTCATCCCTACCGCAAAAATTCATTCTTTTTACGCGATCTTCAGCTTCCAACAACTTTAATGTTAAAAAATCAAAACTTGAAATTGAACGAAAATCGTTTTCAATAATCGGTGCAAAACTGTGGAATGAGATACCAACTAAGCTCCGAACACTACCAAGATAAAAATTAGTGATAATAATTTTGAACGACTTTTCGACCTCGCTGAGGTCATTTTCAAGATGATGAAAATGAAAATTTTTACATATATGTACTAAATTCGAGACGTGGGAATGATAAAGGCGATAAAATATGAAAATATATAAACGATAGGCGTAAAATACAAGTGATAAAATTGCAAAGGAGACAATACGAATAAATTAATATGAGAGTTGACGAAAGTAAAACTATAAATTATACGAGGATACCGTAAATTATTATCACCAATTTTTATCTTGAAAAGCTTTTCTAAAAAAACTACTTATCAAAATCGTGCGATCTTGTTCAATATATTAGAATTTGAAGACTCCTTCGAAGACTTAGAATGGATAATCTCTAAAGTTAGTAAATACTCTTAGTAGCTATCACCTTTGTCTCGCCCATCCTACCTTATCCATTCTATCTTATGTATTCACTCACAACATAATGCGATGCCAACTTGAATTAGTCACATAGTTGTTTCCGTAGACTTAATTTGTTTTCGTATTTACCATCTATTTATTTACCTATAGTTTTTACTGTGTGTATTTTCCTCTTCTTTTACTGATTATCCTGGCCCGCCTCGATTAGCACTGCTATCTGCGGAGCCAGGGGAATAAGGATTTATTGTCAAATAACAAATAAAAATATTGTATTGTATTGTGCAATGTTTAATCAAGATTTTTTAGTCACCACAGGGTCGAGCCTGTTAGCTGGGAATAACAAGAAAACCGATCAAGTATGGTTTCTCGTTCCTGGTGGTAAATTGATATATAAAAAAATAAAACTTTCATTCAATTCCTTTTTTCATCTAAAAAATTAAGAGCGCAATGTCAAAATTGTTCGTCGCAACAGGGTCGAGCCTGTTAGCCGGGAATAACAACAAAAAAGGTTCTTGATAATTTTTATACAGATTTCCATAGATTTGTCAGTTTTCTGCTCGTCAACATATTTGAAACAAATAAACAGAATTCTTGCAAATTTTCCTCAATGGCAATCCTTGCTCATCAACAGTATTCAAACTTTTATTACAAGTTTAACAAATTACAGAGTTTAAAGACTGCAAATTGCGCATCAGAATTTCCTAATAACCCCATAACATTTGATAGCTGGATCAGCATCTAATTTCTCCCCACAATGATGCCTCAGAATCAAACATTAAGGTAAAGAGAATAAAGGAAATGATCACCAGCTAATGAAGCTCTTGATTGTTAAATAAATTCTCCTTGTCAGCACCTTAGGAAACTACGGTGAACAGTATGGAGAATATGCATAACGATGTTTGGGTTGAAAGGATAAATAGGTGTAACAGTCGGTTGTAAAATTCATGCCCAGCACCATATTTCATACAACTATCACAAGTTTTACGCGTTTCGCAGAGACCTTGCAGGCTGTAAATTGTTGAAATTCCCATAAAAGGGGTCTGAAAAATCCCGTGCCACAAATTCTGAAGTTAGGTTACAAATTTTGCGCGTTCCTCACAAGGTATAAACACTATCGATTATTACAAACTTCCTAGATTATAAAAAGAAAAAGTTTGGCAAAGGTTATTTACTCCGCGAGGACATAGGGACTGTTTAATGCTCAGAATTTCTTTTTCTTTCGCTCATTAACAGATCTAAATCTGACATAAACTTTGCAAAGTTATTAAAGGATGAAAAGGCTGCGAATTGCCTAGATCTTCCTCGCTCATCAAGAATTCCATGCATTTCAATTCAACCCAAACCGTTCAGAACTTCTTAAAATTTTCATGCTCATTAACAAATTTTTAACCACAAACGAAAATTTTCCACTGTTTTTGTTTTCACATCTAGACACATTTCCTGCATGTCTGATGAGTATGTTTTCAAAAGAAACAAGACATGAGGGGTGTGAAAATGGTTGGAGAATTAATTTCGAAACTGTGCCTCAACGTAAAGCTTCGAGAATTTGATATACATGAAAAATCAGATTCAAAGCAGTATTTGACGAAACGAATCTCTAAATCAAACTCTTGTTTCGTTTATTTAGATTATGTGTTTATTTCCAGTGATATAGCCATACTATGGCCGGGTGTATCCAATTGAAATATTTTGGTCAGTTTCTAGAATGATTTTAATCACAATTACTTGAGCCAATCCCTAATTGAACATCCTACTTGCAAAGCCTCGTTTCCCAATTTCAAATAGCATCACCTGGTCTTAATTAGGTTTTTCCCTCTTATTCAGCTCCTCAACTGAATCTAAAAATCGAAGTCTGTTGGATTAAACGCTTCCTGATGTTTTTCTCCTTCAAGCTAAATCGCCTCTCCACATAAGCAACTATCAAAATTAGCTATTTTCATTGACTATTTTATTCGCACTCTTAAAAATGTTGTGTCTATCTGAATTTCTCAGCTCTCCTTCTGACCCTTTTTCAGGCACTCGAATAAAACACATGTATCACTTGCAGGCGCCTGATTTTTTTGTCAGTCATTTTGCAATAGTTTTTTGGTCTTGGTAAAAGACGATAAAACGTGCTTGCTATTCACTGGGCTTGGTTGAACATGTAAGCCAATTATAAGAAAGATTTATAACATCCGAATATTTGTTTTCATAATGACGATTAAACTCCTCACTCTTTCAGTTCAGAACAGGTGCTCGCGCAAGAGGTTATGGTTCGATCTCTTAATCATTGCGGACTTTGAAACGAAAAAAACTCTTCACTGCATGCGTTGAAAATGTTTCACGCAAAAAAAAAGATAACAAATTTGGACGTAGTCTAAGAAGAATCAATTGCTGTCCAAGAAGAAATTTAAATTGCAAACAAAACTAATGATAAAAAAGATCAGATAAAAGGCACTTTTTCTAATCTCCACACAAAGTATATTCAACTTGTATTCGTATTCTGAGCAAGGTGTTGTGATAGTCATCTCTGTTTTCTACAGTACAAACACAGAGAGAAGAGCCTGAATCCACTACACTACCTTAAAGTAGATAATTGCTGATTCACCTAGAGTTTTTGTTTTCCCGCAACATTCGGTTAAAAATTTTTGGAATTACTCACGGCAAAAAAAAATTTTTCATTTTAGGAAAATAGCTTAGCGTATAGCATTTTGGCTTATGTCATGAATATCTTGGATGTAAATATCACAAGTAACCACTAACAATTCGTTTCGTTATTCCTCTGCAGTATTCCTTAAAATACCAACTAGTTTCTGACATTTCAACCTGATCAAGTGAAGCGCGTTTGTTTATAATTAAAGTAGAATTTCACTCATTCGAATTGAACTAAGGGAGCAAAAAAAATTTAAAGATAACAGAAAATTTCAGTCAGCTGGTTATTCTAATTGACTGTTGAGTCTTTTGAAGTAAAATTGCATAGTTCGCTAGACCTGTAGGGAGGCTCTAGCTGTGTGGCTGTACTGCTGCCGATGTTTCTAGAACTTTAAAACTCTGACTCACCCGAGGAAGACGTTTGTGCGCCAAAATTCTTCCAAAGGCTCTTGCTGTGGCAGTCAGCTCTGACTATCGCCTAACTAGTTTTACAAACTTTTAATCAAAATCCCGCAATATGTTTTACTTGCAGTTTATCTCGATTATGTCCTCTCATTTGATAGGCAGTCGGTTGCTTTGATGTATATGTAGGAGAGAAAACTGATTGCCGCACATTTACGATGATCGGTTTACCGATTATGAATAAGACAAAAACAGAATACATATAGAAGCCTAATTGCAGAGATAATTTCCTGGAAGAGGTTAAGAAGCAAGCCAAATAGGAATTAATTAAACTGTAGAGAGTATCTAAATGTTCCACGTTTATGTTGGAAACTTGATTAGATTCATTCCCTCACAATGATTACAATGAAATCTGATGTAGAAAATGACGATTGCCGAAGTCCAGGACTGCTTTGAGAAGCAGACCGTTGTTTACATCCGTAATGTTTCATTTTTCATTTTTTCCTACAACGTCGTTCTGCAATTAACTGGTGTATGTCGGAAGTGAAACTTCAGACAACACCGCCCATAATGAGAGGTGTCTTTCCAGTATTCAGTTTTATTGCATACTCAATACAGTATTTGTTCTCTGATTGGTTTCACAGTGGAGTAAGGAATTTCTATATTGCACTCGCTCGAAATCGTAAGCTTCTACGTTGGATGAAAATTATTACAAAAAACCTATCCCAGATGCTCATTTCACAGTTCTTACAAATAAGACATCCATTCCGAGGATTTCCCTCACAGCCGAAAAGTGTTTGGGGTAATTTTCACCCGGCGGACGACATAGTAAACAAGAACACGTATGAGCCGTAAACTCAACTTTCGAAACCCCACCTGATGTCTCGTCTACTTAATCAACTGCACCACTCTAGTTGACCTGGTCAATTAAGTATTAACGATTAAGGAAAAAATGGAGGAGACTGCTTTACTATGGTCTTGTGAAGTAAATATCGACGAGCAATCATTGACAGAATGCATGATAACACCAGTTCGTTAATTAGCTTTAGGAACTAATACGCCTTATCGTGAACATTTTCCGACCTAACACCTTGTGTACCCAAAGTGTTGAGCAATCGAAGCCACATCTCTCTCTTTTTTTTTATTTTTTTTTATTTTTTTTCTTGGATAGTCAGG